GAATTCACCAGAGCCAGAGCAGGGAACAGTACAGGCAGACTGATGAAACACAACACACTGCTGAGGAGAGCAGCAGGTGCAGCAGGAAAGGTCTGCGCGCCATATGGGCCCCTCGCCAGGGGCCGGGGATCGAACCGGCGCTGCAGAGACTGCGGGCAGCTTCGCAGCCCCACGCTCAACTGCTGTGCCACCAGGGGAGGCCCGACTGGACAATCAGTTTTAAAACCAGAACTGTCCCAGACAAACTAGGATCACATAGCCATTGCTTAGTTAAATGTCACTTAACTTGCTCTTAGAGTGCAACAGTTGGCAACCTTACCAAATTAAAAGCACCTTTTTATTTTTTCATTTTTATTTCTTGTATCATATACTTTTAAATCAACACATGTAAATACCAATTATGTTGTTAACCCAGGACAGGTTTATCCTCATTTTACAAAGATAATCTTACTACCTAGGTATGATTTAATTCCACTTTACTTATTTTATATGAAAACTAATTAAATTAAAAGTATACTTTTATCAGCTTATTAATAATGGGTGACTTTGTCTGTTCATTCATGATATCTAATATCTATTAAACAGGTACTATATGCCTCACTTAAAATCCTGAGGACTAAAGTATATCTTCATTACAGACAGGATTATGCTCACCCCAGAAAAATCTCAGAACTTGGTGATTTTTGTTAGTGATTTGGCATCCCATTCTAGTTTCTGTAAGTGCTTAAGTATTTATATATTGCCATCTGGTTGGTATCTCATTGTCCAGAACAATCCTACTTCTTTTTTCCCTAGAGTTTATTATGTGACAAATGTTGCATCAATCTGACTCATTTCTCGGAGCTCATTTATTTTGCCTGTATTACTGGTAGTTCATCCATTATGTAAGCCCCAGGCTGTTTCCATTTGCTCTGTGAGAAGTATTTGTTTCCAGTTGCCTGGCCCTTCTCCTAGATCATGCCCATACTAGGAAGCAGGTGGAACACAGCGCCACTCTGAGTCAAAGCTTTAAAAGACCACACACTCACCTTCATGTGGGGCCTGAGGCTCTATTGTATGCTAATTCTGGTTCTATAGCTGGGTCACCTCAAAGGGTGTCTGAATGACTCCTCTTTGGGATAACAGATTGACTTCAGTTCAAAGAGCTACTTGAACACCAGGGAACTGTTGTTGCATTGAGGAAATCCAAAACCTAAACAGTGCCAGCCACACAGCAGGTGCTCAATAAAATGCTATCCACTTAGCATGTTTTTTTTTTTTTTTTTGACTCAGCAGTTCTTTATTGTTTTATATTGGTTTACAACACTGTGATTCAGAGGCCTGGAATCACACCTCCTCAGATGCATTTTACCACACCACACCCACCACCAAGGTGTTACATAAGGCCACATATTCTATGATTTTACTTACATGAAATGTCTAAAATAGGCAAATCTACAGAGACATAACGTAGATTGGTTTTCTAGGGCTGTGGGGAGGGAAGAATATGGAGTAACTACTAATAGAAAAGAAATTTATTTTGTGTGAAAATATTCTAAAATTTATTATGGTGATGGTTACACAACTCTGTGAACATGTTAAAAAGCTTTAAAGTGTGACCTTGAAATAAAAAAAAATAAAAATAAAAACAACTGCTGTCCAAAAATCCTGCATGTGGTAGTCAGCATCTCAAAATGAGGAGCAAGAGTTCATGCCCATGAGCTTACATTCTATGTTTCATGATTTGGCAGTAAATTAAATATTATTTTTGAATCTTTTACTTTGAAAATTTTTCTAGTTTTGCTAACTGGTCTTTTAATTTTTTTTTTTTTTTTATAGAGGCATGCTTTATTTATTTATTTGTTTGTTTGTTTTTGTTTTTTTTTTTTTTTGTTTGTTTATACATGCACTGGGTACAGTCAGAAGCGCGGGAGGGTGAGAGAATTCACCAGAGCCAGAGCGGGGAGCAGAGCAGGCAGAAGGACCAAAGTACACTGCTGAGGGGAGCAGCGGGCGGCAGGAGAGGTCTGCGCGCCATGTGGGACCCTCCTCCAGTGGCCGGGGAGCAGCCGGGGATCGAACCGGCGCCACAGAGGCTGCGGGCAGCTTCGCAACCCAGTGCTCAACCGCTGCGCCACCGGGGAGGCCCTGGTCTTTTAAATTTTTTAAAGGCTACAACTTAATTTATATTTCCGTGCCTCTTCCCAGTCCTCACCTATCATATAACCCAACTCTTAAAATGAGATTTTAATTTGTAAAAATTAACCAAGACTCAATCCAAATTTCTAGGATTTTTTTTCTTTTCATCGTTCCTCCTCTACTTCTTTTCTTCTTGGTTTTCAAGACTGCTGTTAACAAAAAAAAACCAAACAAACTATGAATGTATGCATGTTCACATTGATCAGTATCTTCGAGAGCTTCCTGTTATGATCCCAGATCACTCTCTAGTCATTTACTCAGTTTGTACAGAATGTTGGGTGTCAGCAAATGGTCACTCTTTCAAGAGAAGTGCAGTGTTGTCTTAGAAAGGCAACATTTTAGTACTTGCAGTAAAGATGAATTCATACATGTAGATATCCATGTGTCTTTTTCTGTTAGAGGTCTGAGTTTTCCCTTAGAAACTAGAGAAAATTAATAACCTGGTCTATTAAGAAGTTAAGATTATATGGTCTACTAATCTCAGACATCAGTCTTTGAGTTTAACTGCAGAAGATGCATCACTGTGGACTTGAAATGCACCCTTATCAACATACTGATTTTTTTTAAAGATTTATTTATTTATTTATACAAGCACTGGGTACAGTCAGAAGCGCAGGAGGGTATGAGAATTCACCGAAGCCAGAGCGGGGAACTGAACAGGCAGACTGACGAAATACACTGCTGAGGGGAGCAGCCAGTGCTGCAGGAGAGGTCTGCCCTGCCATGTGGGACCCTCACCCGGCAGCTGGGGATTGAACCAGTGCTGCAGAGGCTGTGGGCAGCTTCACAGCCCAGCGCCCAACCTCTCTGCCACCAGGGCGGCCCAACATACTGATTTTCTTTTAGGTAATATGGATGTGTGTTAATAAATGGACATTTGGTGAAACCAAGCTCTTAAATGATTTTTTACATAGCTTGATTTTTTAGGTTATGTCTAGTTCACCATATAGTCTATCATAATTTCTAATTGGAAGAGAAAAAAATGAGCATTTGTTGATTAACATCCAGGTAGCAATTCATAGTAGAAATGTATATTAGCAACCTGAACTTTCAGAGATTTAAGTTTTCTTGTTTTTCCAGCATCTGTAATAGTCATTTTTCATTTATTTATTTATTTGTTTGTTTGTTTGTTTGTTTGTTTATTTTTTGGGACCCTCACCAGTGGCCGGGGATCGAACTGGTGCTGCAGAGGCTGCGGGCAGCCTCGCAACCCAGCGCACAACCACTGTGCCACCAGGGGAGGCCCATGTAATAATCATTTTTTAAATATTGGAAGTGCATTTTACTGGTTTGTTTATTATTTTAAAAATAACCTGGGCCTTCCCAGTGGTGCAGCAGGTTGAGTGCCGCACCGTGAAGCTGTCTATAGCCTCCACGGTGTGGGTTCGATTCCCGGCCTGCCAGGGAGAAACCCAGATGGCACAGCAGACCTCTCCCGCCTCACCCGCTGATCCCTTCGGTAATGTCTTTGGTCCGTCTGCCTGTTCTGCTCCCCGCTCTGTCTCTGGTGAATTTTCTCACCCTCCCGCACCTCTGACCTGTACCCCAGTTCTTGTATAAATAAATACATCTTAAAATAAAAAGAAAAAAGTAATCATTTTTTTTAAAAATAAAATAACCCCAACCCCAATTAAAATTTACTCCTCATTTGCACCAATATATTACTAATTCCATGTCCACCCTTTTGTAGTTGATAATAAGATTGTCTCATATGCCTACTAGACTGTAAGCACCTTGATGTCTAGTTCTATTAACTTCTTAGTTTTACATTTATAAAAACCTGGCTTTGGGCTTCTCTGGTGGAGCAAGGGGTTAAGCACCACACTATTAAGCAATCCGCAGCCTCTGCAAGCATGAGTTTGATCCCTGGCCAGCCAGGGAGCAACCCACATGGCACAGCAGACCTCTCCTGACTCGCCCACTGCTCCCCTCAGCAGTGTACTTCGGTCAATCTGTTCCCCACCGTGTCTCTGATGAATCCTCTCACCCCCCACATCTCTGGCCTGTACCCCACCTCTTGTATGCATAAATAAATAAATCTTAAAAAAAAAACCTGGCTTAGTGCTTGATTCATGGGGTTTAATAAATACTTAATATATTCCAATTATTGTTACTCTGGTTTTTACTGGTAGTATTTTGGTAGTTTTTGTAAAGTGAAATTTTGTTATTTTGTACCTGTATCTAGAGTTAAAATATGTCAGGTAAAGAAGGTTACATGGTGAAAGAATTTGGTGAAAGACTTCAATCTAAAGGCAGTCTGGTAGCTCTGTCACTGTTTTTCAAGTTATAGATAAGGAAACATTGGTAGACTACTATTAAGTAGTGAGACTTGTTTTAAATAATACGGTGTTATTTTTCAAAGAAAGAGACTAAGAAAATATAAAGCATTTTATGATACTTCAAGACTGTTTTTGTTTCAGAGACAGGTATGTGTGTATCTGTGTGTGTGTATGGTGTAAAACTGGGTCACAATTAAATTATAGATCATCATCAAAAAAAAGTTTTAAAAGAGTCAAACTTTGCATATTTGGATCTTTTGTAATAATTCTGAGCCTAGAATTTCCCATCTGTACAATGGGGTTAATGGATAACTTTTTTGAAGGTCTAGTTTGAGGACTAACGGCAGGCACATATACAGAATACCTTGCATAGAACCTGATTTACATAGTAGACCTGAAAATAATGTTGCCTTTTACTAAAACTAATGAGTTTAAAATTTGATTGAGGTCTATTCAAGTATATACAGGTTTGAGTCAAGACTTGAAATCCATGAAACTAATTTTTAAAATGATGTGTAATACAATGATGTTAAAAAATAATCAATATGGTTATTGTTTAATTAATTCACTATTTATTGATTTTTTTCCTTGAGATCATTGCTTTTAAATTCAATAAGTGTTTTAAATTGACCCATTCATTTATTCTACTAATATTTTAGAAGCTGGAATATGCCTAATGGAACATGACAGAATTTTTTGGTGGTTCCAGATTTGTCCTTTGAGGCATAAAGATCTGATGGATGCCTACAAAAGAGAATATTTAAAATGACATCGATTTCATATATTAAAAGGATTCTCATGCCAGAGGAATTTTAAATGTGTTCTTGGCAGAAGGAAGAATGAAGACCAATTTATTGGAAGTTAGGCAATTATAGAATTCAGCTCAAACTTAGAAACAAGAAATTATAGTGGATTTTTTTTTCATTCTGTAGCCTGTAGAAATACTTTTGAGTGGCTTTAGACTTTATTGCGAAACAGAGTAACTCCAAGGATATCCTAGATCATAAGGTAGTCTTAATACATTAAAGTGGCTGTCCCCCCAGAAACAATTAGATGAGAAGCTAAGTTATAAAGTATGTGAACTGATTTTCCTAAGTAATATAGAGCTAGACCCAAAACATATATTTCTCGACTTTGAATCCACTATTTTAATGCATTACTGCCCTGAAATTATTTTCTGAGTCTGATGGCCTCAGGCAACTGTAATATTTCTGCCCTGTGTTTTAGCCCTGGCTTGTAACTGAGTCTCGGATCTCCCATTTCCTGCCATTGGCAGCTTTAGAGAATTACTTTGTAGGAATGAATCAGAGGGCTGAAGGAGGCCTTCAAAATTCAGATTTTAAATCTCAATTCAACAGTGATATTCTTTTAACCAAAAGAGAAAAAAAAAAAAAGAGATGATCTAATTGAAATTAAAATTGGGGAACCTGAACCTCTGGCTACCCTTACCTCCCACTACCCCTCAACACAACCACCAAACTTCCAAGGAACATTTTAACTTCAGAAAAGTCTACTTAATTGCGTTGATTTTACAATCAGGCTTTCTATGAATGTGGAAGGAGAAATTATTTTAGGACATTCTAGGAGAAAATCTGCTTCCTCAAATAGGGTAAAAATAGCTCTGAGAGGCAATCCTGACTCCAGTGGAGTGCAGGGGAAAGGAAGGTGTGAAAAAATGAGTAAACTGGCCCTTGGGATGTCCCAAACACGTGTAACTGTCAGTGGCTTAGACAAGCCACCTTAAAATCCATTAGGACAGTGTGTCTAGAGGAAGAATGGTGTTCCTTTCATGAATTATCTGGAAATTAGTTGGAGCCTCAGAGCCTTCCCAAATGAAGCTCAATAATCTTTGGAGGGAAATTGAAGATGGGTCAAGAGCAAGCCACTGTGCACCATGATTTACATTGTGACAGATCTGAGAACTCAGTCCCCAGTCCAGGTTTACCTGTTACAGTCTTTTTTTTTTTTTTTTTTTTTTTTTTGCCAATGATTATATTACCGGTGAGTTCACTTCTTATAAGTTATGGGGATCTGAAAACCCCCTCAAATTGATGACAAGTTTATAACCCATTTCAATGATTTTTTTGTCCTGAATACTTGACTGAATGCTTCATAGTATTTGCGGCTTCCTTGTCTGAAGGGTCTTCTTGCCCGGCACCACTTACTAGCTTAGCACATGGGGGCAGTTCTCCCTCAGGAAGAAAGCAGGTCTGTGTGCCAGTGGTTCCGATCACAAGGACATTTTTCTTCAAGTCGATGGAGCATTGATGTCTTCTGAGCATATCAAGCCCGAGAAGCATGTCCATGGGCTGCTCCTCCAGGATAGCGAAGGAGCACTGTAAGAAATCACCTTCGATTTGAATCTGAGCTAGATGAACTCGGCCGATAATTCTCTGTGTGCCCACTCCTTTAGCGATTCCAGCCCAGCGTTGGTCCACCAGCCGTATTATGTTACATCTCTCAGCACAAGCTTGGCTCATGATGGTCATCTGGGCACCCGAGTCAACAAAAGCCTTTAAAGGATGCCCATTCACTTTGCAGTTAATGTAGAGCATGGCCACTTGCCCGAAACTCTCTGGAGCCTCCTCCATGGCTATATTCATGTTCTCCTCAATGTTCTGCTGCCGGATTTCTTCCTCGATCTTGGCCTGAGCTTCCAGATCAAATGGGTCAGCACAAAAAAGACGAAGCCGCTCTTGTTCTTGCAGGGCCCTCTCCCTTTGCTGCTCCATTAACACCTGAGAAAAAGTCTCTAGGCTTCCACTGAGCAGTGCTTCAGCCAAGGGAGGATTACGTTCCTTTAGCAGGGACAGATCATGGGGATTGGCCAGCAGCATGCTTCGGATCAAGGCGGGGCTGTTCAGACCCGGAGCCGATATCATCTTCTCTCCAGAGGCCAAACCATGGGACTGCTGGGTTGATTTTGAATGTTGATGCTGGTGCTGATGGTGCTGATGGTGGTGGTGCTGGTGGTGCCGGGAGCTGGATGTCCCAGGCATGGCTATCCCGGTGAAGTCTATGTGAGGCAGGCTTGATACCCGTCCAGAAGGTCGAGGTCCCACGTTCTCCTTCTGCAGTAAAACAACTACATCGCCATCTTTAAGGCCATAGGAGCCCAAGGAGCAGTGATTGTCCGTGAGGAGCTGCTCCATGTAGATGATCTGGATCTCTTCTGCTGGGATGCCGGACTCAAGCTCACAGAGCACTCGGAAGTTGTGGAGCTCAAAATCAGGGCTGACCTGGAGGGAGAAGGTTACCTCGGAGAGGTCCCTCCGCACACAGTACACAGTGAGCAGCATGGCATGGGCCCAGGAGGGCCAGGTGGGCAGAGGGCATGAGATTGTTCACTAGCTGGCTGGGGCTGGTCTCCCTGGATGGCTTGACTTGTGCCTCAAGACTTGGTGTTTTTGTTTCCATTCATTCACCTCTGGAAGAGGCGCAACCCTCACCAGTCTGTGGCTGCCTGCCCGCCTCAGTGCCTGCTGCTGGGCCACCTGGCATGAGGTGGCATGGTGGGTTCCAGACGTCATTTGTATGTATATTGCTTGGAATTTGGAATGTCCATTCCCCTAGCAACAAAGTTACTCAGGAGTAAAGGATTCCAAGGCTACCCTTCAAAGCCAATTTAACCCATGAGATGAACAAGGTTATTTCAACGTTTCCTAAAGAACACATACACATTCATTCTTTTCACTTGAGAATTGTATTCTACATACTTATTTCCCAAAGAGGCCTTGTTTCTTACAGACCTAGAGCTTAATGTGTACTTGGCCTGAGAGATAGGTCAGGCTTGCTGCCTGCCCATGGGAATCTCACATCCGTGGGAGAGACTGACAGTGAGTGGGGACATGGCAACTGTGGAGCTCAGTGCTTTTACAGACACATTCTCCACAGAGGAACTGGCAGGACAGAGGAGAAAAGGTAGATATGAAGGATGTCCATTTTTCACACTAGAGTGACTCCAGACAAAAAGAATTGCATTACAAAAGCAAGAATTTATGACAAATCCTGTTATTTCCAGATTTGAAACCTGGATTTCAGTTATAGACTATTAAGCTGAAAAAAATTGGTTGGAGCCAACTTATAGAGTCATATAAATCCAAAGAATTTAAATAATGCCAGCCCCACCCTTCAGTCAGCAATAACAATTAAAAAAAGGATGAAGAGAAAGGAAATGGAAAGGACTTTGAGGTATGTGTTTATGATGCCTTTTTTAAAATTTTAATTGATTTAAAGGAGTTTCTTGGGACATAGGGGAGACTCAGAGATCAGTAAATTCCTCTTGACTCTGGGAGCCACTATGATATGAGACCATAGTATGCAAATTTGTTTCTAAGATCAGATGAGAAGCCATTGTGACTTAGATTCAAAGTTGCTCTCCCAGCCACCACCATCAAGTTTTGGACAGTTTGTTTTTAAACCTTTAATAAGCTAGGAAGATAATAGACTTTGGGGGGTTTTAAGCACTGCATGGTATTATTTTGTAGATTAATTTTAGCTTTTTATTTGTTTGTTTGTTTTTGGCAAAGCAAGAATTCTGGTTGACATCAAGAGAAGCTACCATCTTTTTTCCCCCATCACACTATTACCTTGGTATTGAACATAAAATTGTTATGTGGTATGTTTTATCATTTGCTGTAATTTTAACTTCTGGTGGCAGTTTGCATTTGTATGACTTTCAGTATTCCACTAGGTCTAACCAGCTGCCACCATCCCAGAGGTCACAGGAAGTCAGGATGAGCAGGAATCCTTCAGCTGATCTAATCCAGACATCCAGCTAGTCTTTAAACCCATTTTACAAAACACCCTAGAATCTGGACAGATATACACAACTTCCTTGGGCTGTTTACATTCTCTGTATGTATTTATTATTTAATTCTTTCATTTTACTCAACGCTATTGTTGACTTAAATACTATATGTATAGTTCTCGTCCCCTAAAATTTTAATTAAATTTTTCTTCTGATTATGTAATAAACTCAGAGATCATTAGGAGCATATATAAATACTCTTTTAAGAATAGAATGTTCCTAATACATCCCTATGGCACAGGCCACTAAGAAATGAACCATCTGAATTAGCTAATGCGCTGACTTAGGAAAGTGAAGGTTATTGCAACTTTTCTTGCAAGTGTTTTTTTGTGAAGTATATTCCCTTTTCTTTCTTTGTAAGTACAATATAGAAGCATAATTGAATCTTTCTTTAATAAGTGAAACTCCTGCAAGGTCTCAGGGCGATCACTCAAAAAATCAATTCTCATTGTATAGCCTAGATAGCCAGAAAATAGAAAAGATGACATAAATTTCATCCTGGCCAAGTAAAGAACCCCAAAGTTATTTTTTGGCATAAATCTACAATAATACCTTTCATAAGAACTTAATGCAGCAAAAAATCCAGATATTTGATGGTTCCACTTAGTTGACATTTAAAGTACCATGTCTTACTTTACAGAATAAAATATATTTCCTATGTAAAATAAAGGAATTTAGCTGCATAAATGTCATTATTTAGCATATTCAATAATCAAATTATGTTAAGAAAATATATCAGCTTGCTGTGTCTTGATTCTTTCCTTCAAATGTGTGTGTGGTGGTACTTTTAAAATAAAGTGTAATTGAGACTTATTAATACAGCTAGAACATCATTTGAAGTTTTCAATTTAGGAAAGATGTAAAATTTTAGAAGTTGAGTAATATTCCATTGTGTTTATGTACCAGGTCTTTTTGATCCAGTCATCTATTTTTGGGCATTTGGGTTGTTTCCATAGCTTACCTATTGTAAATAGTACTGCTATAAACATAGGGGTGCAGGTGCCCTTTGAATTAATGTTTCTGTGTCCTTTGGGTAAATACCTAGGAGTGGAATTGTATGGGGACTATACTAAGATGCAAATGCATATATTATGCAAAAATGAAAAATGATGTAAGAAATATACAAAATAAAAAATATACACTAACTTTTATTTAAAAAAAATTAAAGCTGCATTCTTAGATTAAACAACTAATTCTCCTACCATGTTTCCATTTGCTTTAGAATAATACAATAAATTATGTCAAAACTGCCATATGTAATATTTCTTCAGATAGTTAATTATGATTACTAAACACGGTGAAAACACTCTAATGGAACTTCAAGATTTTATAACTCATTTGAAGTTTTCCTATATGAAAAGGATAAATATTGTCCATCTTTGAAGATTAAATGCCATAATAAGACCTCCTAAATAAATTTATAAACATGTAATTGAAAAATGCTTGAGATCTTAGAATTTTAATTTTGTGTATCAGTCTCCTGGGAATACAACTAGTTTTTTTTTTTTTTTTCCCCCCTTTATCCCTGAGGAGACAGAATGTGGACAGATGACACATATACATGTACCTGAGAGAAAGTAAGTGCACACTCAGTCAATACATGTTCCCATTATTTTGAAAATGCAATTAAAATAGTATGTAAGGGCCTCCCCGGTGGCACAGTGGTTGAGCGCTGGGTTGCGAAGCTGCCCGCAGCCTCTGCAGCGCCGGTTCAATCCCCAGCTGCCGGTGAGGGTCCCACATGGCTCACAGACCTCTCCTGCTGCCCGCTGCTCCCCTCAGCAGTGTACTTCGGTCCTTCTGCCTATTCTGTTCCCTGCTCTGGCTCCGGTGAATTCTCTCCAGAAAGGATAATTTTTATGATATCTTTTTATTTATTGCCTTATTTATCTTTTTTAACATTGTATCATGGAAAAGATACATCTTAAATCATAGTATATTTGAAAATAATATAATCTCTTGATAACTTGACTTCTTCAAAATAGGTACTTTACAAGTCTATATTTGCATGTTCATCTGGACACAGACATGTATGTGTACACATATATAATTTCTTGATAACTTTTTACTTTTCCAAAATATCTACATGCCAAGACTAAATACACATGTGTATTTATACTTATCTTGAGAAAGCTTAACTTTGTACTTTATGATCCTTTCAAATGTCTTAATCATATAAAAATTACTTGTCTGCGGTACACACACCTTTTCATTGAAAATTTGAAGATTACTTATAATTTATGAGGGGAACATTCATAGATTAAATAAATTTAGCATAGCAAATTAAAAACCGGATCAAAATGATTTATGTGTTTGTGGGTTGACTTGTTTCTTAGCTTTCCATGTAGTTTAGAAAAAGAATGTTTTCATCTTATTTCTGCTGTGTGGAACCATGTAACACAAAATTGTAAAGTAATGATAGTAGGATCTTATGTTTTGAATTCAACTGTGACTGAGGAAACTAGTTCAAACAATTTTTGTATTGCGCCTGCCTGGTGGCACAGGCGGTTGAGCGCTGCACTGTGAAGCTGTCCACAGCCTCTGCAGCAGGGGTTCGATCTCTGCCAGCCGGTGAGAATCCCACATGGAGCGGCAGACCTCTCCTGTCTCTCCTGCTGCTCCCCTCAGCAGTGTATTTCAGTCAGTCTGCCTGTTCTATTTCCTGCTCTGTCTCTGATGAATCCTCTCACCTTCCTGTGCATCTGGCCTGTACCCCGGTTCTTGTATAAATAAATAAATCTTTAAAAAAAAACAATTTTTATTATTTGTTCTTTTATAATAACAAGCAGATCACTTAACATGCTGTCACTACAACTTAAAAATTCTAATGTTACCTATTCATAAGTTCACGTACATTTTAATAACTTCAACATGAACTTTCCATGTCAGAAATTTGTTAGAAGTGCTATTTATTAATGTGTGTCATCTACAAGAATTTAGGTAGGTAGTAGTGTCCCAAAAAATGGAAAAAAAAACAAACAACTACCTAGTTACTTCTTATGTGATGCTAATATTTAATCAACAAAGTATGACCGCTCTTTAAAATTTATAGAATATTGATTTGGGGGACAGTTATGAGGTAACATTTTATAGAGGTAACATTAGTTTATAACACCATATTGGTTCCTGGGGTACGTTTCCTCCTGTGTCCATCACCAAATGTCCAGACACCATTCACCACCAACCAGTCGCCCCTGCTATTCATTCCTATCCCCCTGGCAACCACCTTTCTGTTGTCAGGTCTTAGGGTTTGTTCTTGGTATCTTTTGTATCCTACAAATGAGTGGAATCATACCACATTTATCTTTTTCTGTTATTCTGACTTATTTCACTTGGCCTAATCCCCTAAAGATATATCAAAATGTTAACTAAAGAACCTCTTTTGTGCCTATCTCTTTAGGATAGTTGATTTAAAAAAAAAAAGACATATTTCTGAGCATGTTTCTTAACCTCCAAGAACCATTGTATATACGTTAGATTAAAACATCAACTAGAAGACAATGCCAAGTCAGCAACTTTATTAAGACTTTATTATAAACTTATTTTAGAAATGGTGTCTTTATTTCATTAAAACTAGTGATGTGAGAAGATTCCTCCATTAAGTTTTTTTTGTTGTTGTTATTGATGTCAGCCTGTTTCCACCTTGATGCCCAAAGTTCTAGCACAGAATCTTAATCTTAATCTTTTTTAAGATTCATTTTTTTACACATGCCACTGAAAGAGCTTTATTTTATAACCATGACCAAAACCTTTAATTAACCAAGAAAAGACAAAAGTGGAGTCAACACTTTAAATGTCAGGGTCCACTGAAAACCAATCAGAACATTGTTCTCAGAAATTGTACATTACCAAAAATGCAAATGTGATGATCATCATGATCAGAATGACATGTTTCTCATAATTAAATGTTTAAACTTGATGTGAGAAAAATATGCTATGCTTCATTGCACTCCTCTCATTTATTAAATGCAAATGCTGTTTACTTGTTATTGTCTTTCTCACTCGTATAAACTTTTATTTTTTTATTTTTTTGACTAGGAGTTTCCCAGTTTGTTTTATTTTTTATTTAAATATTTTATTTTATATGATTTTTACATCTTTTTTCATCTTTTCACAATGTATGCATTTTTGTTTTGGTTATATTCCCCATACAATTGCACCTCCCCCTTTATTTTGACTCTAGTCCTTCCTTTACCCACCCCTCCCCTCCTCCATAGTGTGTCTCTTGTTTATAGTTGCTTGTTGATTTTGATTTTTACTTTGTATTTATTAGTCTTTTTCCTGGTCTCTTATTTAGGTTTTCTAGATTCCTGCTATGAGTGAGACCATCCAGTATTTTTCTTTTTCTTTCTGACTTACTTCGCTGAGCAGGATCCCTAATAGCTCCATTCATGTTGCTGCAAACTGCATGTGTTTATCTTTTTAGATTGCTGAGTAATATTCCATGGTGTATATGTACCACATCTTCTTGATCCAGTCATCTATTTTTGGGTATTTGGGTTGCTTCCATAGCTTAGCTATTGTAAATAGTGCTGCTATAAACATAGGGGTGCAGGTGCCCTTTGGAATTACTATTTCTGTGTCATTTGGGTAAATACCTAGGAGTGGAATTGCTGGATCATATGGAAGCTCTATGTTTAATAGTCCAAGAAATCTCCACACAGCTCTCCATAGTGGTTGAACCAGTTTGCACTCCCACCAGCAGTGCAGGAGAGTTAATTTTTCTCCACAACCTCGCCAACATTTGTTGTTGCTAGTTTTTTTAATATGTGCCATTCTCACTGGTGTGAGATGGTATCTCATTGTAGTTTTGATTTGCATTTCCCTGATGACAAGTGATGTTGAACATTTTTTCATATGCCTGTTGGCCATTTGCATTTCCTCTTCAGAGAAGTTTCTTTTTAGCTCTTCTGCCCATTTTTTGACTGGATTATTTTCTTTGTTGTTGTTGAGTCTCATCAGCTCTTTGTAGATTTTTGTGATCAGTCCTGTATCATTAGTGTTGTGTGCAAAAATTTTCTCCCAGTCGGTGGGGTTTCTCTTTGTTTTGGTTATCGTCTCTTTTGCTGTGTAGAAGCTCTTTAATTTGATGTAGTCCCAGCTGTTTATCTTTGCCTTCACTATCACTGCTTTGGGTGATGTGTCTGTAAAGATGTCTTTGAGGTGCATATCATGTAGTGTTTCGCCTATATTTCTTCTATGTATTTTATGGTTTCAGGTCTTATGTCTAGTTCTTTAATCCATTTTGAGTTGATTTTTGTGTATGGTGTGAGGTAGTGGTCAAGCTTCATTCTCTTGCATGTAGCAACCCGTGTTCCCAGCACCATTTATTGAACAAACTTTATTTGCTCCAGTGCATATTCTTTGCTCCTTTGTCAAATATTAGTTGACCATATAGACAGACCAATGGAACTGAATTTAAGATTCATTTTTACTTATTTATGCATACAAGAATTGGGCTGTAGGCCAGCAGTGCAGAGGTGAGAAGATTCACCAAAGACAGAGTGGGGAGCAAAACATGTGGATCTACTGAAATATACTGCTAAGGGAGCTGCGGGTGAGACAGAAGAGGTCTGCTGCACCATATGGGTTAGCTCCCTGCTGGGGATTGAACTCATGCCTCAAACTCACGCTGCAGTGGCTGGCAATAGCTTGATAGTGCTGAGACTTTAACCCCTGAGCCACCAGGGAGGCCTCAGAGTCTTGATCTTAAAGTATAACCTAAAGTATTTGAACAAAGTAACTACAGACCTACATCTTGAACAGGAATTCAAATAAAAAAATGACACTACATTCCTCAATCTTCATGAGTCTGTTTTCACTACTGCCAGGAAAATAATGCTAAGGTTTGAAACCACTGTGTTTGCTTTCCACTTAGTTCTAATTTGTTTATGATTTTTATGTTTTTGTGTTCTTTGTCCTTCCCAAATAGTCAGTTCTAGGAAATTAGTGGAGGGTGACACCATTATTTGGAAATCTATTGCCTTGGTCCTAATAACTGCTCAGAAGTATATGTATTTTGATAGTTATAGACATGTATAGTATCTGTATACTTAGTTAAGTTTTCTGCCATTCAGGGGTGAACTCAGAAACATGTTAATAATTTCTCATAGTAAATATTTCATCACTACTTCCTATCAGCAAGTTAGTAGACTGGGAATTTTGAGGACAGAAGGATGAATGAGAGTCACTTCCCTCCTTTCAACAAGACAACTATGTGGGGAGATAAGACTCATATACATTGAATTGTGTTCTGTAGTAGAAATTAATGAGTCATGGTAGATGTAGAAATAAAATGCTGTGCTTGCTTAGAAGAGATAAAGGTTACATATTTGTGGGGTGGGTAGTGTGAAGAGTGTATACCATGGTGCAGAGTGTTCTCAGGAAACAGTGCTCCTGTGGTGAATTCACAGCAACAGTTAGATTTTACATATCTGGGTCTGGAGGAACACTCCTTTCCTTGATGGATGGTACCACTCCCTTGACCCCTTTCTCCTTGCACACACATACATTATACTGTTCATTTTTACTCGTAGATACTACTACCAAATGATGCAATGAGATGGTGTGGTTGGTG